TATAATGCCATGAGTATTACACTGATATAACATAGGTAAATGTGGTTTATAATGAAATTTCTTGAGTCGTCATAATTCAGATCGCTTAAAAACAATATTTAATTAAAAATGTAAGCACATGCAGAATTTAGGTGTACAGTAAAAAAATAATAACATTATAAAAATTATAAATTATACCACATGATGTTTATGAACATCTAAAAATTTAGAATGTTTACTGTGATGGTAGGTTTAGGTGATGATACTGTATAAAAAGCATGAATATAATGTAAATATGAATATTAAAGGTTCTAAATATAATGTAGAAACTTAATTTTTTCTGTGAAACTGCATTGCTACAATTTGTTTTGTGAAAAAGTTATAAAAATTAATGTGAATTGAATTGTGCCTATGGAATGCCTTCATAAAACATGACGATGCCATGTCCGGACATGTCAGGGGATCCCGATAAGCCTTATCGTTTGGACTGTTAAAATATATATTTTTTCCCGATCCTGGTAAAATGTATGACGTTTTTATATTTTTAGTGACGACTAAAAGTAGTGTAAATGTTTTGCTTTGTTTTATATCATGTGTGATCACATAATTCATATATTTCCATTTAAAAGAAGAGAATAAGACTCGGGATGATTGAATGTGCACGTGTGTGAGAGAGAGACAGAGAGAGAGAAAGAGAGAGAGAGTGTGTGTGTGTGTCTGTGAGAGAGAGAGAGAGACGGTGAGGGTGAGGGTTAGAACAAGAGACAGAGGAGCTTTTCCTACTTAAACATTTTATAAGTTCAATAAATAAATAAAACGTTGAATACTTTTGGAAATTGCATGATGAATGATTTGCTTTAGTAGCATGGTAGTAAAACATGCTGTCATATATAATTATTTATTTTCATATTCTTTAAAATAGAGATAAGTCTCTCTTTAGTTTGTAATTTTATGTATGTGTGCTTGTTTATGTGATTTATCAGAACACAAATTTGTATAATGCCATGAGTATTACACTGATATAACATAGGTAAATGTGGTTTATAATGAAATTTCTTGAGTCGTCATAATTCAGATCGCTTAAAAACAATATTTAATTAAAAATGTAAGCACATGCAGAATTTAGGTGTACAGTAAAAAAATAATAACATTATAAAAATTATAAATTATACCACATGATGTTTATGAACATCTAAAAATTTAGAATGTTTACTGTGATGGTAGGTTTAGGTGATGATACTGTATAAAAAGCATGAATATAATGTAAATATGAATATTAAAGGTTCTAAATATAATGTAGAAACTTAATTTTTTCTGTGAAACTGCATTGCTACAATTTGTTTTGTGAAAAAGTTATAAAAATTAATGTGAATTGAATTGTGCCTATGGAATGCCTTCATAAAACATGACGATGCCATGTCCGGACATGTCAGGGGATCCCGATAAGCCTTATCGTTTGGACTGTTAAAATATATATTTTTTCCCGATCCTGGTAAAATGTATGACGTTTTTATATTTTTAGTGACGACTAAAAGTAGTGTAAATGTTTTGCTTTGTTTTATATCATGTGTGATCACATAATTCATATATTTCCATTTAAAAGAAGAGAATAAGACTCGGGATGATTGAATGTGCACGTGTGTGAGAGAGAGACAGAGAGAGAGAAAGAGAGAGAGAGAGAGAGAGAGAGGGGTTTTTGGGAAACCTCTCATTTGAAGAATCGTCATACCTGTGCTAGGAGGAAGACTTTGTCCCACGGAAAAATATAAGAGAAATTTTATTTCTTTATTTATTGTTTTATTTTCAATTTCATTATACATTACAGTGTGTGTGTGTGTGTGTGTGTGTGTGAGAGGGTGAGAGAGAGAGAATCTGTTAGAATTGTCTACTTATTCTTTTATTGACCTTTAAACCAATATCTTTCTCACATCTCCCATAGAGAAAGAGAGAGAGCAAAAATGCCCTGCCTTGGAATGCAACCAGACACACGGACCCCAGATGGGGAAACCCCCCAGATGTGGGAACTGACCATTAAAATCTACAAAAACATTCCTCAGGACTTCATTTATGGTTTTGTCATCCTCGGACATGGTCAAACATCTGTACAAACATCATATTTCTTCCCCCGGAGGTCATAGGTCACATCTGGATATCTAACGGGTCAGAGGTCAACACAACGTGGGTGGTCGCAATGCGGGTGGTCACTACGTGGGTGGTCGCGACGTAGGTTAGCCTCGCGGGGGAGGGGAAAGGTCAAAAGGTCAAAGCCATCAATCAAACTGACACTGTGTGAATCATAGGGACTACTCATATGGGCCTTGGCAGTTCGGGGGTCCACCGAGCTGGAGGGAACTTTTAATTGAAACGAGGGAACGAATAGAGCCCTCCATGGGCCTGGCCCTTGTCCAAAAGCTTATGAGCATTCTCCGACATTCTTCGAGTCCGACTGGATACCGTGACTTTTTTCTCTCTCTCTTCCCCATTACACAGATATTAAAATAGTTCAGTTTTGGTTTTTAATGGCAAAGTGGTCATATTTCTTTTTGTTTCTTTATTAAGTTAATTTAGAAATATGTTTGGAACATTTTATGTTTGTTAAATTCAAGTTTTTGTTTTTTAAAGGAACAACCAAGCGGTAGCGGCAGACAGTGAGTTGAGCATTATGTTTAATCAATTGAGCATTCTTAAACCAACATGACTTGCCAAAAAAATAAACAGACATAAAACACTTCATGCATTTCACAGTATTAAGTTAAACATTTAACCTAGATAAATGAGCGCTGTTAGGCGCATATCCAATCGTTTGTGCTTTGCAGGACATGGAGGCACCAGCATGCATTTTTTTTTTTAATAACAGTGAAAGCTTAAAAATACGCTGTCATTTTTTCTCATAATGGCAAGAGTATACATCATTCGGAACTGCAAAGGGTCTACTTGTATTTGTGTGCACTCACAATATCAACAAAACCTTGTGCTTTTGTAAAGTAAGAAAAACAAACAGGATGCACTTTCTGTCCTCTTGTTCTTGAGCAGGAACGCTTCACCGACAAGATAAATATATCTAGAGAATGCTTTAAATTACTATTTTAAAACGAAATAATTCAAATCGAAAACAAAAACTCTTTCATTACGTAATCCGTAAAGATGTACTTCTCTCTAAAGGCGCGTCCAATGAGGAGATGGCGAGTCAGGTTCGTCAAATTCATTTTTGCAACATTTACTCAGAAAACATTAGTTTATTAACAAATAATTCAAATATCCCCTCACTATTTTTTTATTTTTTTGTAAGATTTTTATTTATTTTTTGGGTCGCTCTGCCAAAATTGTGTTTGCATTCAGTAGCCTATACGGCAGCATTTTTGTGCCACGTTGAAAAATAATTAAATAAATAAGATTAACGTCATAATATTTTAAGAATAAAGTAAAAATTATGATAATAAAATCGTTATATTGCATGAAGTTAATGTGAAAATTCCATCTATAGGCCTACTCCTCCAAAAACAAAAACAAAAAAAAGTCTGTGGCATCCGTCACTCTTTTGACTTTTTTTTTTAACTATTATTGATCGATTCATGAGACATTCGTTTGTATTAAATTGTTCAGATTTTTTTCAAATGCATTCACATATTCATCTTTATTTCGTGCTGGAAATATTAAAGAGGAAAATAGCATTGATTCATATGCAGCTAGAACTGAAGCAAATTATCTCACTACAAATTAAAGAGCGTAAAAAGAGGTTTATTGTTTGTATTTTATCATAAAATTTACAGAAGGCTAAGACTTTGTACTAACAAAGCACAAAGCTGTGATTATTGAGTGGCTTGCATGCTACAAAAAATTAATGGACTTGAAAATGTAAACATAATTTCCAAGCATTAGCCTATATCGTAAATAAAACAGCTTGTGAATAGTCACGATTCACGTAACGTTATTTGCTTAAGAAAAATCAACAATAGGGCCTAAGTTACGTTAACCGAGTTGGAGCCCATAACGTTTGGGGGGACCCGTACAAATTTTTTGCATATGGGCCCGGGGCTGACTCGCTATGCCACTATAATAACAATTATATAATATATATATATATATATATAAAATAAGAGCAAGCATGGTCTTAACATTGTGGTCGGTGGCCCTTGGCTTGGTAATGTTGGCAGAATTCGGCCCTCTGTGAAAACTAATTGAAGAACCCTGGCCAAACTGTTTTGACCTTAACACAGTGTGAATGTTGAGAGATCAAGCTGGCTAATTACAGTCCCTGATCCACGGGAAGGCACCTCCTCTCAACAAAGAGCCTGTGATCTCTGTAATGTTTTGTAGTTTGCTTGGTATGAAAGTAAGTACACAGATGCTTTTACATGCCTCTGACATAGTTTCGTGCTAGATCAATCACAGACACAGAGACTGTGGGAGGTAGGGAGGTGGAAAGTGAGCGAGGGGGAGATGGGGGGGGTCTTGAGCATAACAACAGATCACTGCTTTTCATTCCTTTGTGTCGACAGTAATAATCCATTTGAATAAGCCCCTGCATTAATTGCATCATATGAAAAATCATATGATGAATCATATGAAACATATAAAATCATATGAACAAATCTCAAACATACCAAACTGTTTTGTGTGTGTGTAGTGATTTATTTTTGGGGGGTTTTTGACTGAAAGATTCAGAGAAAGCTAAATTGTTAGTTATTTCTGCTTTTAAAATAAAAAAGAAATATAAATATGAATGCATAAACAAACTAGTTTACTTCATAATGTGATTTTTTAATTTAAGGCTTTTGAAGGCTTGGCTTTTTCACTGTGTTGTTTACTGGTTGAGGACACTGGGAGTGGTGCTTACAGTTGTACAGTCTAATGAGGTCACACCCTGGGCACCCACCCCGCCCACTGTGCCATGACTAATATATATTTTCCTGCCCCTTTTACTACAGCCCACCAACAATAGCAGGGCTGCAGAGGAGCTGTCCTTGGTACTGATAGCTGGAAACGGTGTGAGCGAGTGCATGTGAGGGGGAGAGAGGAGGAGGGTGGAGGCGTGTTCTTTGTGTTGTGCAGCCCGAGTTAATCTGCTGTGGCATCTACGCAGAGAGGAGCCGTACATCCGAAAACCAGCACTGCTGTGAGGTGCCCAGCACAACCCTTGCTCAAGTGTGTCCTTAAACAAAAAACAAGGATTCATTTCAAAAGTTCTTCTCCTGAGCCTGTGTGGTTCATCTTGGAAGACTCGAGGAGCTTTTTGCTTTGGGCTGTAGTAAGACTTTTAAAAGTGCATGTTGGTGGGAATTAGAAAGGATGTTTTTCTCAGGTTATTCTCAAAATGTTGTTGCACTCTAGCAGGTGTAGCATGTACAGATGAAGAGGAGAGCATCTTTTAGGCTAGATTTACGTGCATACCCAGAGGGCTGAAGGTTCTTCAGCTACAAGGAGCTGCAGACAACTACTGTCACGGCTACAGCCTCCTGCTTTTTGCACCTGAAGCTTGGAAATTCTAGTTTATGGACCGGAGCTTGACTTTGAAATGGCTTGAAACTTTCCTGTTGGACTGGAGTTGGAATCTCAGGATATAAGTCCCAGGTGCTTTTGGGAAGACTACCTGAAATGGAACTATCTGAAATGGGTGGCATTGTAGCCTGCAGGGACCTAGTTCCTCTGTAAGTACAAAACTCAACTGAGCTCTTGTCCTTTTCTTGAAACTTATGATTTCAGATGTAATTTTCTGGATAAACTTTCTCTTTTGATTTGAAACTACAGCTGCATTCTCACACACACATACAGACTTAATATTTAGCCCTGGCATGGACACTTTTCTTTGAAGATGGTGTCTCCATCTGTCTAGCTGTTACCTAGAAACATGTATTGTGTTCAGTTTGGAAAATAGGGTAATCTCTCCTCATAGGGCCGATTGTTGCAAATACTGTCAAATAAATAGGGAGGATAAGATGAGATGTTAGCAGAACATGCTAGAGAATCTACCAAGGAAACAGTTTAAATGGGAGAGGATAGAGAAATTACAGGATTAATGAGTGTATCTGATGCTTAGAAACAAGCCATTTCACAAGTCACCAAAAGTGTGCTGTATAATAGCATCACGCACAGATGCACAAAAAGTGCAAATATCCTTAAAGGGTTAGTTCACCCAAAAATGGAAATTCTGTCATTAATTACTCACCCTCATGTCATTTCAAACCCGTAAGACCTTTGTTCATCTTCAGAACACAAATTAAGATATTTTTGATGGAATCTGAGCGCTGTCTGACCCTGCATAGACAGCAATACATCTGAAATGTTCCCAAGTCCAGAAACGTAGCAAGGAGATATGTAAAATAATCCATGTGACATCAAGGGTTCAACCATAATTTTACGAAGCTACGAGAATACTTTTTGTGAACAAAAGAAGAAAAAAATGACTTTATTCAACAATTAGTTTATTATTATTTTATTTGATCTCCTTGCTACGTCTCTGGACTTAGGAACATTTCAGTTGTATTGCTGTCTATGCAGGATCAGACAGCTCTCAGATTCCATCAAAAATACCTGTAAGCATAAACCTCACTGAATTATGTTAAACAAGACAAAAATGAGGAAATATTTTTTCCAATGAGCAAACGCAAACTTGCAACTTCTGCAAAGGTCCTACTGGCAAACACAGCAAGGTCATGTGACATTGAACAGGTTCAAATGCAATAAGAAGAAAGTGAATATGAACTGAACACAACTGAAGATCTGCTCTGAAAACAAGATTCTCAAAGGTCAACTGTAGATGATGCAGAGGATGCTGGACAACAGTGGTGGGTCTCTGAGCTTGAAGTGCATTGCCCATTTGGCTGCTTTAAATCCCCTTTCCCCCCACCAACCTCCCTCCTCACACATAAATACTGCCCCTTACACATAAACAAGCATGTCCATATTCTTGTACTCTGAAAACACTGACCTACATAACACAGAGTGCTGTCCCCTCTCCTCCTCCTAGACCTCTGCAGATGTACATTGCGATAGACTATACATTCCACACTCTGCGTTTCTGCATCAATATGATTTTATGTGAACTTCGCACACCACACACAAACACATCCTGTAGAAAATATGGTTAATCAAGCTCAATAAATAGTCACACAACATGTTGTGTCTCACTAAATACAGCCCATTACTCCGCTAACACACAGTTCGTTCACTGTATGCTTCATAATCCAGCCTGATAAATACATTGGCCTGTTTTTACGAGAACAAGGCTGTTAACAATGCTACAGATTATTCAAACAATTTCTTTGTATGTGTGCTCCTGAGGCTTAACCATCTCTCTGTGTTTGCTGACGATGGGAGAATCTCATTGACCCAGAATCCTTGTTTACACAATAACCCATTAAAATAGCACTGCATATGAAATCAGCAGTTCTAAGCATATCTATCTATCCATCCATCCATCCGTCCGTCTGTCCGTCTGTATATCTATCTAGCTATCATAAGCAATATGATATTAATAACAATAATTTCAAGAATTCAAATGATCACAATTATTATTTGAACTGTTTTTATTTGCAGAATACCCTGTTGGAATACCTGTAAGCAATGATTAGCTCAAAAGAGGAGGATTCACTAAAATTTCTGCAGTATGTTGAAGACTATGGACTAAGAGCATATAACAGATTGGTCTCACAGAACATCACCCACGAGTGGAATGAGAAAAACTGGATTAAGTTTCAGGGGAAAATCGACAAGAAGCAAAAACAGGAAGAAGCCATTAAAAGGTAAGAAGGAAAATATGTTAGCAATGCATAAATAAAAAATAAAATAAAATAATAAATTGCACATATTGCAAACACCCTCATTTAAGACTGTGGATATAGGGATGCTCACTCAAGCTGACATAAAACATTATGAGCATTCACTCATTTTCACACACTCTTAACTAAATGTATGTAAATGACAGCCACAAAAAGAAACAAACCATAATATTGTTACCCATGATGCTCCCTCACACCGAATCCCTCTGGCAATAACAGAAAAGAACATGTCCCCTTCTACATGTGGATGTTGATGAATTTTTTTAATTTTTACATACTTGGAGTTTGGACATGTTCATAATCTCTTTCATCCTTGTGACTTGAAAGGTTATGTGCAAGACACACGCCCAAAGATAATTTTGAATAATGTTGCACAACATTTGTATCTGTTTCATACTAGTCATTAGTTTTTCATCTTAATGTAATTTCAGTCATAGAAAAGTGATTGTAGTCATGAGCACAGGCTTCAGATGGATTTTGACACTTTTTACAACAGTGGCCTTGCTAACATAAATGCAGCTGTAATTGTGTCAGTGGGCTATCTACTGTTGAGTGCTGCCCCTGACCCGTTGGCATAGACTGTATTGATCACATTTGCAACAGTCTTCTAAGTGCAATAAAAGCTAAATGCTCTCAGAGACCTCTTTCATGCATATGGCTCAGGCCTCAACTACTTAAAAAAAACATTTATTTCAACTTTGACATGATATAAGTTTGTGCTTACCAGGAATGCTGGCTAATCTTAATACACCAGTTACTGGGAGGCATAACATACATGGTAAAACATGCACAGCATTCACTTTTGTTTAGCTTTTAATGATTTAAGCTTTAAAGCAACATAGAACCTAATGATAACAAGATAAGTTTGGTAAAGACTTTTTAATACTTTACAAACCAGAAAAATACTGTTTATAATAAATAAATTTGTGGTGAATTAGAACAATTTATTGTGGTTGTCATCCAAACAAATATGATCATGGCAAAATATTTTAATTGTTTTTGATTTAGCAAGAAATGTACCCATTAAAGCTTAGGTGTCCCACATTACCATTCACTTTTTAGGTCATCTTAACATCTTTTGACAAATTGATCACTGAATCTTCATAATGCTAACTATATCTGTTTATGTCTGCTCCCAGTCAAAATCTCCTATATGAGCTGCAGTTGATTTCCCATCAGCACTATACACAAGATAGCAGATAGCAGTGTTTGATTAAACAGTCTTCAGTGAGACCCTGATTTACATAAGACACTTCAGTGTTGCAGCTACTTGAAGCTGAAGAGCTTTCACCAAAATATTACCACAAGTTAAAGGGTACAGAAGAGTATTTATTCTCTGATATTGGTCTACTTCTGGTCTGCCTATCAGCTGTTGCTGATATAAAATATTCATACTCAGTGGCTGGAGGATGAGGGCTAGAAAAAAGGAATAGCTGGATTTTTCATGAGGCATATAAGTGGGTCAATGAGACGACCCATTTTTACAGGAACTGATGGGAATAGAGAGAGAAAATCTGGTAGAAAGAGATTACGTGTGAAGAGTGTGCTAGCAGGAGTTGTGTTCTGCCTGGTGACAGCTGGAGCAGTCACCGACCAATCAGGTTGCTTGCACATGCACATTGCTCTGAGTGAGGCGGGTCTTCTTTTATTCTCTGCTGTTCTGTTGGAGCGTTCACTGTCTCTGGGAGTGCACAGAAACGTTGTCCATACACAGCCTCACATGCTCATTTGCTTACAGCAACTATGCTGTAAACACTGAAGAGCATGGACAGAAATAAAAGGAAATAATGAAGTTTATATGATATACAGGACTGAAAAATTGTTTAATGTTTAAGATCAGTGGTGTCAAACTCAATTCCTGGAGGGCAGAGTTTCGTTCCAACACACATACTTTAGTTTTCAAATAAGCCTGAAGAACTTACCGTATTGGCCCGAATATAAGACGACCCTGTTTATAAAACGACCCCCCCTTTTCCAGATGTACCTTTTGGAAAAAGGCTTTTTAAAAGCCAAATCTTGTTTTTTCTCAGTAAAACACATTTTGTCTTCAATTATTTTCATATTGCATATTTTTCCTATTTTAATTTTTGTTTTGAAAGTATGGTGAAAACTGGTAAAATGTACCAACAATCACATTTAAAAAAATATACACTTTTTGATATACCATTAAAAAAACAAAAACAGGTAGCCCATCTGAATTAGGACATTTAGGCTATCCATCTAATAGTAGCCTACCAAAATCTTATTAACAGTAGAAGTTAAATCTTACTGTAGTCTTCAAATCTGGGTACTGTCTTACGTTTTAAAATCACAAAGGGAGTTTGGTCCCATCAGGCTAATGTGACAGTCACGACTCATGCAGCTGTAAGGTTTTCTTTTTCTTTTGTTTTTACTCGCGATCTTTACAACACGCATTACATTACGTATGTCATGGCACACTCGTTTTATGCGTATTTGGCGCCACCTATTGTTGTGGGGGTATTATTGACATGTCAAAGTCTAGACCCTGAATATAAGACGACTGCGTTTTTTCAGATGTATTTCCAAGAAAAAACATCGTCTTATATTTGGGTCAATACGGTAATTAGTTGGATCAGGTGTGTTTAATTAGGGTTGAATCTAAACTCTGCAGGGCTCCGGCCCTCCAAGAATTAGATGTTCTGTGTATGACATTTTAATATAAAGAATTACTTTTCTTTGTTTTTCAATATTTTGAAAAGGTTGTAAGAATGCTGTCCAGCAGCTTCTAATATATTGGAAGTAATGACATAAACACTTTTACTGGGCAAGGGCAAGGGCAATGTAATAAATAAAAGACCTGTCTGATACAGTCTGTTTAATTGGCCATATTTAAAGGCGATGTAATTTCTTTCAGCAAACGGAATTGCCAAAATAATTTTGGCGCCACCTATTGTTGTGGGTGTATTATTGACATGTCAAAGTCTAGACCCTGAATATAAGACGACTGCGTTTTTTCAGATGTATTTCCAAGAAAAAACATCGTCTTATATTTGGGTCAATACGGTAATTAGTTGGATCAGGTGTGTTTAATTAGGGTTGAATCTAAACTCTGCAGGGCTCCGGCCCTCCAAGAATTAGATGTTCTGTGTATGACATTTTAATATAAAGAATTACTTTTCTTTGTTTTTCAATATTTTGAAAAGGTTGTAAGAATGCTGTCCAGCAGCTTCTAATATATTGGAAGTAATGACATAAACACTTTTACTGGGCAAGGGCAATGTAATAAATAAAAGACCTGTCTGATACAGTCTGTTTAATTGGCCATATTTAAAGGCGATGTAATTTCTTTCAGCAAACGGAATTGCCAAAATAATGACTATAATGTTTTTAATCAGGTTTTCTGAATATGTCATTTTAAAATGAAAGAAAATAAATAAATAATAAAAACATTTGCAGCATAATTACAATTCTTGTTTTATGGTTGCTTTATTCAGAATTTCAAAAAGATTGTGTAACACTACACTGAATGCTCTGCTAAGGAGAAGCATAGTGTCAGTTACATTTAACAGTAGGAAACGTGTCTGCGCCAAGTAGGAACAGGCACATGCAGTGCTGACAGCTGCTCCAACATCACCGTTCCTCTTCCTAATGAGAGCTTAATGCCTGATCCGTCACGTGGGTGGGTGTGTTTAGATGGTTTTGTCTATCCGCGAGTGTGTGAGGAGACTGGTTACACAGAGCAGCAGCAGATTTTGTGTTTGGTTTCTGTGGGTACTCTGTTGCTAGGCAAATTAAGCCCCTGACCAATGAACCCTTCTCTCAAGACTCCTGCTGTTTAGCAGCTGTGTGTGCAGGAGTTATCAAGTTACACAAACATATGCACAGGTAATAAATGAACGCACCTTGAACTTTGGCAACACAAACAGCAATTGCATCTTTAACTCAAACAACTAATGGCTAGTGCAGTCATTCTCGTTTGTGGAACAGAAATCTTTAGGGGAGAAAGAAGGAAAGACAGAGAGATAGAGACGTTAACAGGAACCTTTGATCTAGCACATCAAAAGAGCCAAAATAGATTATGACTACAGTGTGCAATAGAAACATAGATATAGTAATGAAAAAATGGCAAGTGTGGTTTTAACAGTTCATAAGAGACTAAAGTTCAAGGATATTTTCCAGTGTAGTCCATAGAACGTCATATTTTTGTAAAATTGTATCCCTGTCATCATTGCATCAAACCCTGGAAAATAAGCTTCATGTTATTTAAGCTTGAATTAAAAAAAAAAAATAATAATAATAAATTAAAACAAATAAAAAATAAATTGTGTGTGATAAAAATATATTCCTGCAGCCTTTTACTGTGTCATTAAGTCTGATGGGGTGCCAAACATAAAAATCAATAGCTCCAAATTAGCCATTTATTCAGATGAGTAACTTAAATCACAGATCTCATCAGAGTGCTGCTAATTGCAAGCACAGACATATATAAGCCCAGAATGATTTGCATAGCAGCACTGTATATTATGATTTTGTACAAGGGTTTTCAAACTGGGTTTGAAATCAACAGGCTGAAAAATTCTTTGTTTAGAGAACTGTACTGTAGTGTGCACTGTAATATCCAATAATTTATGAGATATTCAAATGATCCAAAACATTTTGTTTGTTTGTTTGTTTTTTTGGGGGGTTTTTTTCATTCATTCCAAGTGTTCTTCTGTGTCGTCATGTGGTGTAAATAAATTTAGCATTCAATATTTCATTTTAGGAATTGGTTAACTATAAAACAGAGTATGTAATTTCATACTGCTATTATTACATACTATTCTATAGTTATATATTTGAGTGATCTAAAAATAAAAATATTCTAATCCCCAAATAAATAGTGAGCTATTGCTTTAATATATCACACAATGCTGCTATTTACTTTCAAATCCATTCATGAATGGTTTTATTTCTGGTCTCTTATCAGGGGGGAAGAGCTGAACACCGAGGGTAAGCACCTGCGAATGGGCTCCATGAGCATGCCGGCCCCTGTGGAACACATGTCTCCTCACCAGCACCAGCCCCCCTGCAACCCAGGTTTCACTGTTCGCTCTCAGTCCCTGCACTCTGTGGAAGGAGGGGAAGAGGAGGGCAGCCCCACATCCCGTAAGCAGCCCCCGCCCAAACCCCGGAGGGACCCCAGCACCAAGCTTAGCATCTCCTCTGAAGCTGTGGACCTCAGTCCCACCGGGAGTAAAGGCAATGACTCAGAGAGGTGTGACGGTAAGATTCTATGGTTGTTTAATCCAAGCTTCACCTTCACAATTCATGCTGCACAAAATGTTGAGATCAACTCTTTCTGTGGTTTATACTAGCTGATGTTAAATAATTGGTTAAATTGAATCCTATTTTTTCATGTAAAAGCAAACACACACAACAATGTGAACAATTCCATAATTTTGAATGACCAAGTCATGTGAAGCCGTATCTGGAATGAGCACAAACATGACTATAGCATGTGATGTCTTTCAGATTAGGACAAAATTTGGGGCACGTTTTTACACATGCCAAGACATTATAAATCAGACACAGAATTACTAGAGGCAACAGTAATAATCAAAATGTGAGCATTTATTAATAAGTGAAAACACTCGTGGACAAAAATATAAGACAGTATGTATACAAGACAGGATAATTAGAGCATAGTTTTCAATATTGCATACATTTAAACTCGTTTAACAAAAATAAAATATTTAAAAGTAACATTTTAATTCAAGTGTATTAAACAGTTCTCTGTTATCCTTTTCAACCGAAATAGTGCCGAAATAATTCTCATACGGTGTGTCGCTGAAATCTGAAATCCAGTGATGTGCAGCTGTTTTGTGGGGTAACTGCGAACCTCAGACTGCCATCTCGCATTTTACTCGTAGCTGAAAGATGCCATGACTGACTCTATAACCTGCCCATAAACAAACAGTACAGAGTTTTGAGAACATATTTTAACATCCAAATTAATTAGAATCAGTATTATAAGGAATAAAATCAGTTTATGTTATGCAAGGCAAAGCGTTTCCATCATGCGAAACGACACATTTAGGTGCCTGACATCTCGTCCTTGTATGTTGAGTTGCATAAAATACAATCATTTACAGCACAGTAAAGATTTTATAGATGAAATAAAACGTATACAAATATTAATTTCACTGAAGAAGTCCACCAAATCTGCAATGCTGAGAACCGCTGTCTCCTGAAGAGGATGAAAAGCCCACGCTCTGACTGTAACCTAACAGCTGAGTTAAAGTAAGTCCGTGCTGGGTTGTTATATAAAATAACCCAGAGTTTTTTAGAGTGTGGCTATTGTTTAATGTAAAAGCAAACACACAACAATGTGGACAATGCCATAATTTTTTATGTCCAAGTCATGTGAAGCCTTATCTGGACTGAGCACAAACAAGACCATAGCATGTGATGTCTTCCAGATCAGGACAAACTATGGGGCACATTTTTACACATGCCAAGGCATTTATGCAGTTGACCCTAAATGTATCTCCCATCATTTGGGAAGATATTGTGTAGTGGTTGAAGCTGCTTACTTATAATTTGTAATTGTAATTTTGCAGGTTTTCATCCCTGCAAAAAAAGGCAAGCCATAAGCATCAACAGTGTTCCGGGGGCATCCTCATGCAGATCTCAACAAGCCTTATCAGTTTATGTATATGCAGTGATGGCTCTCTTTTATCTTTTATTTAGCTGTAGGCTACAAAAGTATTAAGTCAATTTATCTTTTTCAAGTTCTGAAGTGTGCCGTGACAGATGCTTTTTGTCAGAATTTGAAGGGATCACAGTGGGCACACAGATCTTCCTCAAAGCCACGGCAACCAACCCACAGAAACAGAGACCTCCTGCTGCTCCACCAATCCAGACATCAGACATCAGCTTCAACCAATCATCAGCGAGGTGACAGGAAGACAGAGTGTGGCAACAACCAATAAGGAATGGGCTAGCAGCCAGCTCAACAGCGCTTTAGCCAATGAGCACCAAAGAGTGGGGAATGTTACTCATCCAGAGGACAGTTGCATGTTGAACGAGAGGTTGAGGGGTGTGGGGGGAGGGACCAGCTAGCACAGAATTCATTCAGGAGGAGTGACTGACCTAGATTTAGTTCCCCTGGAGGAGAGAGGGCGAGAGTAAACAGATCTGCTCATAGGGAGGGGAAAGGCAGAGAGAGCAGGAGGAGGGGCATGTTCAGAGGTGTTGAAACAGATCTCAAGATCCACCAGACTACACTTTCACAGAATTAACAAATATTTAATCCGTTTTTTTAGGTATACGCAAAGGGATTCTCTGACTCACTGAGAGAACATGAAAAATGACTTTAATCAGGCTGCAATGCAGTTTCACTCTCTTTACAAACCGACAAAGCATTTAAGACCAAATGTTCTTTGATATGATAAAAGATGATCTTTTCTCAGCACAGAAATCAGGAAATTTTATCATTTTTATTCTCAGCGTTTAGTTGGAACATTAGAGTTAGTGTGTGTGTGTGTGTGTGTGTGTGTGTGTTTCCCTATGTGTGTATTTCAGTAAACTGCAACTTTTTTTATTGCATGTTGTATAAAATATATTAATGTGTATGTATATGGAGTTGGTGATATAGATGGTGATAGAGTTGGAGCAGGAGGACCACATGGTATCTGAATAATTTAAAGTTATTATATTGTCCTGTGTACAGCGACCCAAACTCCCTGCTACTATGGTAGTATGCTAAATCATATATCTTTCTTCATGCGTTTCTACTTACTCAGGAACACAAGGCTGCATTGAGGACTGCAGGAAAGTTCCCCCACCGAAGCCTAAGAGGAATCCCAACACGCAACTAAGCACTATATTATTATTTTACTTATTAACCGCTGTTAATCATTTGAATTCTGGGTCCATTAAATCCACTTTATATTTGTAAACTTTCTAAGGCTCTCTTGGACCCAACATACTCTTTGGGTTTAATCCAGAGAGATTAAAAGGCTAAAGCATTCATTTTCCTACACTCTCGTGCACAGCTATGTTCAAGCAGCTTTCAAAGAATCACTCAATCACAGATGAGCACGGATGGATGAGTTAAACACATGCACAGTACTATCTAGTGGACTCTTCTGTCTCAACATTCACCTTGTGTGTGCGCTGTTGTACGGTGACCATCGCGGAATGCAGATTCCAGATTCCAGATAGACTAGTCCCAATACAGACATTTGCAGTGTTTGCACTTGACCACTTGTCTACTTACACGTACGAACGTATTTCCTTAGTTTGGGCCAAGACCTTAAGTGTGTAGAACGTTTGATTACCTGGTGGCACACACTTACAACATAGTGATGTAAAAAAAGTTTTTATAGAGCTCCATTTACACATTTTGATTTTCAGTGTACTAGACTATGTAACAGATGACACAATGTAATAATTGTGGTGCTTTTACTGCAATTAAGTGATAAAAAGCAGTTCCACGTTTCACAAAATACATATGCTTGACTCACCAATAAAATGCCCAACACTTTACGTTTTAATAACAAATATATATAAATCTTTCTGAATTAATGAAAAAGTTTATTTCGAACATGTAGAACTAATACAGTAATATATATACACATACAGTACATACACACATATATATGTAAATACACATACACACATAATCAAAAACATAAATAAAATAAAACAGAATAAAACTTTATTTGCTGCAGCATTGGGGGAATTGGTGATCCTCTGCCCATCTTGACTTCTGAGAGACACTGCTACTCTGAGAGGCTCTTTTTATACCCAATTATGTTGCCAATTGACCTAATAAGTTGCAAATTGGTCCTGCAGCTGTTCCTTATATGTACATTTAACTTTTCCGGCCTCTTATTGCTACCTGTCCCAACTTTTTTGGAATGTGTAGCTCTCATGAAATCCAAAATGAGCCAATATTTGGCATGACATTTCAAAATGTCTCACTTTCAACATTTGATATGTTATCTATATTCTATTGTGAATAAAATAAAGTTTATGAGATTTGTAAATTATTCCATTCCTTTTTTACTCACAATTTGTACAGTGTCCCAACTTTTTTGGAATTGGGATTGTACATGTCTGAAAAGGAGTAGGAAGAAGCATAATCTTATTTAATCCTACCCCTACTGCACTGCTCATTGATAATCATCAAAATTGGTTTCATAATTGTACCATCTTAATTACAATCTTGATACAATCAATATTAATAAATTTACAAATTACTACATATATTTACATGTTTATTCCCATACACCAACACTAAATACAAAGAAGAAAAAAATAATAACAGTTATAATCCTACAGTTTTTCTGAATTGCTAAAACACATTTCTTGAAACCATCACTCATTTTCTCAAAACCTTAAACACAAATCCAAATACTCAAACTAAATTCACGAAACCTCTGATTCTTCCATCAAAATCAAACAATCACTGCAAAACCATTTCACTTGCACTCAAAATCAAACGGTGCTCTCATCACACACACGAGTCAATAAAATAAAAAGAGTATTCATTAGACACTACAGAGAAAAATGGAGAACACAGCATCCAGAACATTACAGAAAAAAAGTATATTGTATTGAGTAAACAATTTTGCAATTCTGTAAAAACGTATAGTAATTGCAAAGTGAATATTTTGTATAGGCCTACTGTATGTACTGCAAGAATAGTATTGTGCTGAATATTGAAAAGTACTGAATGTTTGTATACATTCCGCACTTGGATACTGCAAAAATACTGCAGATCAACTGCAAAGGCCAAAAAGGTCAAATAAAACTCTAAATGAATACAGTTATACTCAAATACTGTACAAATACAAGTTGTGCAATCATAAAATCAGGGTCAATGAGAGATTCATTCTGTCTCAGCATCATGTCTTTGTGCTTGAGTCCGGCCTGAGGACTTTGTCCCCATCACAAGTAATGTAGTCTTTTTTGCTAGACAAAGAGAAAAAAGCCCTCTGGTCTGATAGATCCAGCCTTGATAACACTCTCTAAACCTTACTCTTACTCTCCTCATCCTCCACTTCTTATACTTCCTTCTCTCCTTCTCAGATTGTTTCCATCTATTGCTCGTATCATCATTCAGTCACCTGTGCCACTTTTGCACTCTGAACTGGCTCATATTTTGTACAGTTGGTTTGATCACGTCATTAGAAA